ATGACTGGCAGTGAAACAGTTACAAGAGAGCAGAAAACAAAGGACTGAGTTTATTAGTCAAGGCTGTCTGTCTTTCATAGCAATTCATCAAAAACATGTCTATTTGGGAAGACCCAGAATGATAAAAGGGTGTCTTTCCAGTGCTGGAAGAGGAGAGTGTGCTTTCAAGGATACAGTGGCGTTTTTCAGGAGACAAGTGTGCAGTGGAAATGTCTGTCAATGGGAGCCTCATTTCCAAGCAAACCTTGCTTTACCACTTCAGGTACCTATTGACTAACATTACTGGTTGACTAAAATTCTTGTTGCATAAAAAATCTGTAAATATCACCTCTTTAATATAAATAAAAATCATGGGAAACCCCAGATAAATTGCTTAAGCAACCACTTTTTGAATGGTGTCTGTTGAACCAGACTCCTCCCTCACCACAGCTTAAGGCATGAGGAAAGAAAACTGTCTGGACTTCAGCATTGAGGACTTGCTTGTCTGGCTTACCCCAGCTGAAACTGCGACTGGCCAACAGGACTTCAGCCAAAACCACTTCACCTCTCCTCCCCCCTCCCCCCCCCCAGTTTTCCCTATTCCACTCCAACACACAGTTCCCACAGAAACAGGGTAGCATGAATAGTGCAGGCTTTGGGGGCCATTCTGCAGAAGTAAATGCTTTTTTAAAAGCAGAGTCTGCATATAGTGTTGGCTAATTAAGATCTCAATTTGGTGAAATGCTTTATTAGAGTTTAAACTCTATTAGAGGATTAGAGGTTATCTGGCTACTGAAAATCATATTTAGAATTCCTCTCTCAACATGTTAAACCTTGTGAAGTAACTGAATGGATTGCCTATCTGGCAGCAGAAATACAAAACTAATATTCTATTTTATCACTGCTTTAGGGATTTTTCAGATTTCTTTTCCCCCTACTACTCATCAGTAACACTGGGAAGTGTCTGTCATGAATGAGACAGACATGGTTTAGGGTCACTCGAATCACCCTCAAAGGTATTAACAAGAGTAGTTTTAATATGAATTTATGAAAATGCAACTTAACAAAGTCTGATAGCAAGGTTCACTCTATTAGTTACTACATGGATGAAACATACAAGAAAATCAAGTTAGAATTGATCTAGAATGATTTACACAGAGACTGAAGGTGAAAAAGGGTAAGACAGAACCCTCACAAGGTTCAGAGTGAACCCCCTCACTTTGCTTTCTAAATCCTTGATGGGAGCTAGGTCTGCTCTTAGTCTCAGACTTGCACTATGTGTAGAATGTACTATAGTTATCATATTGACCGGCACTAGTAAAAGAAGTGAGATTCTCCACCCTGTGAGTTGAACTTGTTGATATGGAACTGAATCTGGTTCATGCTGGCAATGATTACTCTTGCAAGAAGGGTAAGCGATCATCCAGTAGTTAACCCCATCTCCAGTAGGGCTGTGCTGGTATCATTCCTGGAAAGGGAAAACAACAGAAGTCTCTGCGAGATTTTTCCAGACAGGTTACCCCTTAGTGGCTCAAGTTGTTTAACTGCTTGGGCTAAAGACAAAATTCCATTTTCTCACTCAGAATATCTCTGCTCTCTTTAAATGCAGTCAAGCTGAATAATAGAGGTCTCTTTGGTCCATCAGGGCCTGTTTAAAACAGGTTACAGTAAGTGCCATGTTCAGCAGAACCTCCATTTGCTATAATAGGGCTGTGAGGGTGTTCTGAGCCCAATGTTTTTAATTCTTGTATTAGGGTTTTGACTGCCTCTTCATGTTCTGAGTACTATTTCCATGGTTTTGCCTTTCATAAAAGTGAATACAGTGGGCGAGCAATGACAGAAAATCCAGGTACATGCTTCCTCTGGTACCCTAGAGTTCCTATTAACTGTTGTAATTCTTTCCTAGGTTGGGACATTTGAAGCTGTTTACTTAGGGTATCCGGTGGGATTACTGCACTACCTGCAAACCACCAAGTACCTGAAAATTCTGCTTCTCTGCTTTGTCCCTGACATTTTTCAGATGTGATCTCAACTTCATGTTTTATGGAGTGCTTACTACACTGCTGTTGCTGCTTCCCTCACCTTTTCAGGGGAATGTCCCCTGATTAGAATATCATCTATATATTGGTACAGTTTCACATGTTGAGGAAGTGAGACTGTAAATGTTCAGCAAGTGCAGCATGAGCAGTTGTGGGTGAATGTTTATATCCCTGTGGGGCTCTGTTAAAGGTCTATTGTTTACCATCCCAAGTCACCCCAAATTTCTTTTTATCCTCCTCTTGTAAAGGGACTGGGTTCTGGAGATGATTTGTGGTTTCTCCAAATCAGCTATGACTTCAGAAATTCCCTTTAGTGATGCAGCAGAAATAGGGTATGTGGTACACTAGTAATCTTTGAGTCAGGGCGTGCAGGTGCTGTGCAGAGTACACACACCGTAGGCTCCCAGTTTCTATCAGGGCTAGGGTCAGCATTTGAACCAAAGGACCACACACTGCCATCCAGCAGGCACCAGGTTTGGCCACTGAAAACACTGAAACCCAAACTATTTTCATTGTGATCTGTAAATGCAGAGCAAGTAGAGGCCTGAGAGCCATGAATTAACTGTGGTTTGGCAGGTAACACTCGTTCTGTTCGCTCCAGTGATTTTAACTCTTTGCCATCCAGGTAGTACCCTCAGCTTCTTGGCATCCTGTTGTGTTAATATTGAGATCTGTGCTCCTGTACCTGTTAGGAATTTTGCCAGTTGTTGAGGGCCAGCTGGAATCAGAATGTATTCTGCTTTAATGATGCATCTAGCCACATATTCAGAGGAATCTGAGGGAAGCAAAGGATTATCTTCCCCTAGTTTACTATCATCAAGGTCACCCCGTATGTTCCCATCCCATTCTTTAGGGGATACAATTAATTTCCTAATGTCTACAATGTCAGGGGGATGAGGAGCTGGCTCAGCAGCAAACTGAGAGTCTTTCAGGAACTCCTATTGCCTGGCCAAGGTGGGAAGCAAAAGCAGGAATAATCAGTCATCCCCCAACAGCCTTGGAACATTCCTCACCTACTATGTAGCCCGAGTGGAACGGTGCCATTGTATCAGAACTTTTGCCAGCTAGTAAATACGTACTCCGGTTGTGGCCAAGGTGGAAATTTACTAATGACTAAAGCAAATCATCTTGTGACCTTATGAGCAGTTGTCCTAAGTGAGGCCCTTTGAGCTCTCCCACACCACAGTAGGCTGTGACCAGCATCTCTCTCTGCCTGGGACACTCACAAACTCAAGTTTGTGAAGTTTGCAGGGCCACTGACAAAAGCTGATGACAGGCCCTGGGCCAAAGACTCTCCACTTCTCAAGGTTCAACTCTCAACCATTGAGAAATTCTGAGACATTTGAAGTGACTATTTCACGGAATTCAAGCGGGATTTTTAACAGGTATAACTTCGTATCTATCTACCTGTCTGTCTTTGCGTCTGGGTTCATGTGTGTCTAAATTGATTTAGATACCCTATAGCAAATATAGTTGAATTGGTACTTTTAGAACCTCATATCAAGATCACCTTTTGCTGGAATCCTGGACGTTGATTCTTTAGGCGATCCTAATTGATTATACATGTACCCCTTTCGATATAAACCGTTGCCTGAGTCTGAGACCAAGAATGGACCTAGTTGCACCTAAGCTCCATCAGGGGTTTAGGAAGCAAGGGGGGTCCACTCTGAACCTCATGATTCAACAGGAGGGGCTCCCTTGCTCTTTTGTGTCTTTGATCTCTGTGTAAATCCTTCTAAATCAATTCTAACTTAGAATCATTGAATAGTTTGGGGAAAGGGACCTTCAGAGGTCATCTAGTCTAAACTGCCTGCAAAGAACAGGGACATCTTCAACTACATCAGCTTCCTCAGAAGCACATCCAGTCTGGCCTTGAATGTCTTCAGCCATAGGCAAGGCAGGCAAGCATATACAACCTACAGAGCACACTCTGCTACCAAGCTGCCAGGTATATACCCTGCACAAGCTGCCAAGATAGCTTATTTTCTCTCTCCACCTTTGCAGCTTTCCACTCTTCCTGCTGCATGAGAGGCAGCAGCAGCTTTGTAGCCAGAGGTGGTCCCACCCAGCACCACCCAACATCCTCACTTTTCCACAGCCCTTGTGAGAGCAGCAGAAGCAGCAGGCCTGTTGCCAGCTCACACTTCAGGCTCTGCATCCTCGCCCAGCTGCTTTTTCCTCCTATGCCCATGGCACAAATACACAGGAAGGTCTGTCAGCCCTTGGAGGTGAAAGACCTTCTGAGATAATTGTGGCTGGAGGCAGAAATATGTAATTATTCACCCAGTTCAGACTCCTGTTTCTTGTAACACTCACTCTTTACTGTCTGCAGAAACTGAACGCTGCCACTCAAAGATCCTTCATCTGTGGGCAACAACATCCTGTTTTGTCTACACTGCTGCAAAGCTTTACAATGTCCCTGAGTCAAACTCCTCAAGTGAAGCAAAGGGACAAAAAGAATATGTATTTCACAGTTATCTCCCAGTCCTATGGTTAAGGTTTTACTTAATCTCTTACAGTCACATACATTCTTAATTTAAAATTTCCCTGTATATAGCACAGCACCTGACAATTTGCTTACAGCAACTTTCATACAGTTCATTTTCTAGAGAGGAACCAACTTGGTCAGCCTCCACCCCTAGTCCTCTCTGACTAAAATTCTCATTGCCTGTCCATAAGATGTTTTTCCACCTTTCTCCTATTGCAGATTAATTGACACAAGGATTTGGAGAAATGAAATTGAAATATAAGCAGCTTTTAATATAAAAAAAAAAAATCATGGGGGAAGGGAAAAGGGGAAGAATCAGCTTAAAGGTGATGGCCTATTAAACTCTATAAAAGGGTGTTTTTTGAAAGCCATTTTTTGTCATTATTGTGGAAACCTGTATTATACTTTTTGGATTGTTTTCAACATTCTTCAAAGAGCTTTCTCACTGACATACTTACATTGTGCATTAAGTTCTCAAACTCCAAAAAAAAAACCTTTTTTCCCATAATATTGTACTTTCAGATTTTGCGTGTTATGAGTTATCACCTCCACTTTTTGGTTCATGCAAAGCTTCAAAATAAGCATTAGAAATGCAAACAACCTACATATGAAAAATACATCAGGCTTTTAATAGTTCTTTCATATTAATTCTCTATGGGGCTTTTAGTGACAGGTAAAAATCAGACTGGTTAAGAGCAGCTGGTGCAAAGAGGTGTAAAATTACAACTCATTTGCCTGATTGTCAGTGCCCCTGGGAGGCATAAAACTGAGGAAGTGTGAGTGCAGTTATTGCTGCTCTATTTTATGAGGTTTTTTCTACTGAGTGGGAACAACTCAACTTCATACCTTTGGGTTTTCAAGGATCATCTTTGAAAGAGACTGACTCAACAAGCTTCTCACTTGTGTTCTCTTCCTAGCTGGAATTATGCTCTCATCTGACAATACGTGCTATTCTGATTTCCCCTCCTGGGGATCCTGAGGGCAGGAAGACATTAGAACCTTATTACAGGCAATAACTATGGTCAGTCATAATTTCTCTTACAAAACAAACTTCCTTTAAGTTGCATTAAATAAGGTTTCTATGGGAATGCGCTGATACTCACATTTTAATTGAGATTAAACAAATATTTTAATGATAATGATACCACCTGACAGTTGTATTAGATCATTTCTAATAGAGTATTTTAAATTGTTAAATCAACCAACTGAAAAAATCAAGCTGAAGTTACAGCCATGTAATTATTCTTATTCTATTTACACTATACTTCTGCAGGTAAAAGAAGCACTTGACTAATGGAAAGAAAGTGGTGATGACTCTGTGCCCTTTGCAGACCACACCTGGAAACCACATCAGGGTTAGACCATAACAGATGGTGACTGAGCAAAGACATCTTTTAAGTACTGATGGTGTCTGCTTGCAGAATGCCTCAGTTTTATCTCAGAAGCAGAACTAGAGATTCCCTCCTTCCAGCCCCTGAGCCATAGGAAGGATGGCCTCAAGGATTCTGTCTGTAGAATCTTAGACGTAGTTCTCTAGTATGTCAGAGATTGCTTACAGGTATTGAGAGAGGAGTAATAAACTTTGCTGAATATATTAGAAAACTTGAGAAATACATAATAATGATCTTAGTAGCTATTTACCTTGTGGTAGCACCTGCAGGTCCTTCATAATTCTGGTTCTTCACTGTATAAGGCACTTCATACACTCCAAATTTTATCAGAGCTGATGGTAGTAGATGAAGATAAACACAGTCAACAGGGAGAACTAATAGTAGGGTAATTATACCAAGCAGAGATTGTAACATATAAGCTATTTAATTACTGACAAGGATTTTGTAAACAGGGAGGCACTTAATGTAAGAATTTGGAGGAGGAAAAATAAGTATTTTAGGGAACTTCTGTACAAGATAAAAGAAGCAAAAAGTTACATGAGAAAGAAAGTTGGATCAATGCATGGTAAAATTCTTGCTGAAGGATCTCCCCAGCCAGATACTGTATCTGCTTGGGAGAGGTGAAGGAACTGACTTTCAACATCAACATGCCACAGCTATAGTGACTGGTCAGATGACAGCAACGATCAAAAGGCACATAGCTCTTTTCATATTTCCTACCACTGGGGCAGCGTACCACAGGGTGTTGGACAGTAGCAGCCCTTGCTCAGGATTCCTTGGTATGCTGCAGTCATCACAAGTACCATAATCTGACTTGTCAATTACTAATGTGTTGCTGGTTGCAGTCTGCTGTTGACCTGTTCACAGGAGCATATGTAACCCATTCCTGTTACCCCTACTGGTTTCCAGTAGGTTAAATTCCAAGTGTGGAAGGTGGACAAGGGGTGAACTAAAGATCTGTGATAAAGACAAAACTTTGATCCCGTAGAACATAATAACATAAATCTCTCTGGATCCATCTCCACTTAGAACTAAGGATAGCCACAAATCTTTGTTCCTGCCTTCCTAACAGCAACATGCATTTCCATGCGGTCTTTTATAAGCTGGCCTTAGAGCAACACATACATACCTGGGACTTTTTTAAATCCAAACCAAAGCATTTGCCTCTTGCAGTGAAATAAGAAAGTAAGTACAAGGAATAAGAAAATAAGCCCCCATATACACACAGCAGTTATTTCATCATGTATGAGTGTTCTGAGTAGAATACAACTAGAGAATGGGAAGCATGAGAAACTAAAGTGGTGTTACTGGCCTGGCAAAGAGGAAGTCTGAGGCTGGCTAGGGCTCAGATACAACACATCTTTAAAGTAAAGCCAAACCATACGTGTTGTAGTTAATGAAAAGATGGGTCTGTGCACCACCGCTTAAAATGGAAAGAAGGGTAGAGGGTGACATTCTGAGGTCAGAAAGACTCATGGTCTCGATCCAGCCTGAGTTTACTTAGTTTTAAAATGGCAGCATGATTTGCATAGTAGGTGTAGGTTTTGAAATGGTTCTTGAACACATCAATGTCCTGCGGCTAGTGTTCAATTAGCACAATCTGTTTCCAATGCTCGGGGAGCTCAGGAAGGCCTGTGTCTCGTGTACGTGACTCCTGCTTCAGCTACTGCTGCAGCTTGAAAATTAAACTTTTTCCGCAGAGTTGGTGTTCTGTAGATTCTCGTCTGCTCCCTCTCGACGCTATAAGCCCGTTTCCTCTGTCACAGGCGGGCTCATCAGGCCGGCAGCGGCAGAACCGTGTGCAAGAGCTATCCTCCACAGGTACCATCTCCTGAACCCCGGCTTTCCCGCACCCGTCTCACGCCTGGCAGGGGCCGGGGCCGCCGCCTTCCGCTCTCTCCGTAGCAGCCCTGTTACAGCCGCCCCGCTATGGGCACTGGGCCCCGGGGGTGACTGCCCGCCTTACCCCCGTTCCAAAAAGCGGTGGCTCTGCGGGACCGGCCCGGACGCGGAGGCGCCGCCGCCAGCAAATGGTTGCTGCGGGCGGGCAGGAGCGCTCCCCGCCGGCCGGGCCAGGCCGGGCCGCGCTGCAGCAGCAATGGGGCTGGCCAGGGGCGGGCGCAGGCAGTAGGCCGCCTCCGCACACGCGGAGCCAGGGCGGGCCCGCGGCGCTCGCTCCCGCCGCCACCTCGTTCCCCGCGGCGCTGGCACCCGGCCCGTCCTCCCGTGCTGGCGTACGGGTAAGTGGCGTCCCCCTCCCCGGGCCCTGCCGGCAGCGGCGCGCCCTCCCCCGGCAGCTGCAGCCGACCAGCGCTCTGCGGCTGGCGGCTGGGCGGGAGCCGCGGCCTCCGCGACGCGGCCGGTTCCAGGTTCCTCGCTCCCGGGTCGGGCGCTGGGGCGGGGCGGCGGCGGATGAGGGGCTCAGCCTCGGGGCAACTTTACCCCGCTTGCGCCAGGCTCTCCTGGTCCTCTCCGGTGTGCCCACAGCGGGCGATCAGCAACCGCGTGGTGCAGGGACGCCCACCAGCAGCCCCTTTCTCCTGCCCAGCCCCTCACTTGCTCCCGACCGGCCCTAGTAGCGCCGGGGCTGGCAGCGGCAGAGCCGGGCCGCTGGACCTGGCGCTGCGCCTCCGGCCCGGCCCGCTCCGCTCCCTGCGCGCATGGCCGTGGCTGCCCTCCCAGCTAGGAACTGCTCCTTGCGCCCGCAGGAAGGGGCTGCTTTCGGGCGCTGCGGTATCGTCGTCCCCTCCTGTCGGTTGCCTTTTAATCCGATCTGCCTCCTCTCGTGAGAAGCCAGCTCCGTACCCAGCGCTGGCGTGCTCCTACTCCTTTATTTACCCTTTTAAATATGAAGTGCTCCGTAGCCCCTACCTGTCCATGCGTCTGCTCGACAGGTACCACACCAAAAGTCATCAGTCAGCGTTTCTTGCTGGGGAGAATCAAGCCCTTTATTTATAGTAGCAAATCCTGTTTCTGCTAAAACATGGTCTGTGTTGAAATTGCTGTGGAACTGTTGCTTATGCATATTCTGGGTTTTATGGAAACACCTGTTTGCTAGGAGGACTGAAACAGTGGAGCAGCAATCACTACCCTCTCACTAGCAGTCTGGTCAAGTGAGAATGTGTGCGCCTTACTCAGTTCAGTTTGCTCCTTTGAGCAATTACCCTGCAGAAAGTTTCCCAGGTTATGGCGCCCATTTGGCACAGGGTGGTGCTTTGGTGTAAGTCATTCCTCTGCTGTGAGAATAGGCCGTGTCTGACAACTTTGGAGTATTTGTGGCCAATGTTGAATTGTTTTACCAGTTTGTATCATTCAGGAACTAGGTATCACAGTTTTATGTCAGAAAAGTAAGTCTCTCGTTACCTCCTTTGCAGGTGTCTTGGAGGACTTTGCTGTGCTGAGGGGTGTTTTGGTTGCCATGTGAAGGCATTCACAAGCCATCTAGAAGCCTTTTCCACATAAGTGCTTTGTAACCCTGGCTCCATAAATTCGGGTACGTAGGAGAATCTGGAAATGGTGGTGAGCTGCTTCTCTTGGCTTTGGTTTCTGTTTGTTTGTTTGTTTGTTTTTTTTCTTTTTAAAGGATTTTATGTATTTTCATTTTATTTGAGAACAAACTGAAATCATGCTTTCTGCCTGAGGGTACACTGATTTTCTAATTGTGGGCAGAACTGTCCTGATTACAATTAAATTGGGAATTTAACGTATTGCCAGTTAACATACATTTCAAATTACTGATTTGGCAAGTGAGATACAAAGCAGACCACCAGTATAACACCTGGGGAAAACTCCTTTCCCAAGAAGATCTCCTTCCCCAGGCTCAACTTCTCTGCAGATACCTCCCCTCCCCTGGTTTCCTCATCTCCCATCCCCTGCTTATCTTCTGGGTTACACTCTGTCTCATCGGTGAGGCAGCGGGAGTGCAGGAGGTTGGCATTGGTCCATGGAGGGTTGCTCCTTCTCTTTCATTTCTTCTGTTCCCATGTGGGCCCCTCCATGTTATCCCTGTCCCAGTGTAGGCACCTGACAGGCTGCGGTCCTTTCAGGGGTGTCCCTGTGAAGATCCTTCTTCCAAGAGTGCACCCCCATCAGTTGTTCTCTTCCCATGCATCCTCCCATGTCTTTTTTAGCACATTTCACGTGCCTCCTCCTTTGCTTCTTGTTGCACTTTCTGCCACCAGCTGCCTCTCCCTTTCTTAACCAAGCTGGAGCAGAGGCACGGTGGGCTCATCTGATGAGCTGGAGTTCTGGCAGGTGGTGAGTTTGGTCCATTGTGGACCCAGCTGGAACTGGCCATGGCCAGCACAGGGCAGTTGATGGGCTCCCCCCATGCAGCCCCCAAAACCTGCACTTTATCCCCACTACATGAGTGTGCCAGTTGGGTGGTGTGAGAAAAAGGTCCTGCAGTTGCCTAATTATAGGAACTCCAGTCTCCTTTCATAAACACAGAAATCAGACTTCTCTGCTGTAGCTTGCTAAATAGCGGTGTTATGTCACTGGGTTGGTTACACTTTTACAATTGTGTTTGTTATTAATTTGTCTGTCTGAGTAGTTGTGTCTGTTCCTACACAGCTGCTGATACCTGGTTTCAGAGGTGACCAGTTTCTATAACAATCACATTCGTATATTAATAGTTTGTTTCTCTTTTTTAGCCTAAAACTTTCTCAAATAACTAGTTTTCCTCAGTTTTTCAGATCTGAAGGTGCTAGCTCTGCTGACACAAAGATGGCAGCTCACACTACCAGGGAACAATAACAGCTCTGCTCTACCAGCGTGAGTAGTCATGTGCTTCTTGGAGATCATTTAACCTACTTGTTGTTCTGTTATTTCCAGTCATTTGATGATTTTGGTATCTCATCCCTTTATCTGTTGGTCTGAATTGCTGCCACCTTGAGTTCCATGTGGGATTGTGGGTGTTAGAAGAGATGAACATAGAAAAGGAAGAGATGAGACTTCAGGTTTGGGGGAATCGAGCCATCCTCTCTTGATCTTTAGAAGATGGAATCTTGATAGAAAAAGGAATACTCAAGAGTAGTCATATAATAGAAGGCTTGGGAACAAGCAGTGTCTTAGGCACTAAATTGCTAATGACAGCAGAGCCTCTGTGCATGGATGCAGCTGTGGTAGTAGTTGACGGTGGTGATATATGGTCAGTGTAATATTGGATCCTGCTCTTCTGTAGAGCGCATGCTGCCTAGGGTGAGTATTAAGTTCTCTTAACATCTCCCTTCTCTCCTCCCGAGTGCATATTGTTTCTAGCTATACAAAATCTTGATGTTTAACTTTAAAATGCGGAAAGTTATGTGGTTTTCCTGAACTCTTGCAGGGGGCAGAGTCCTCGGAGTGAAGAGACTATGTATTGATATTGCTTCTAAGCAGACAAGAAATAAGCCATTCTTCTTGCTCCTCAGGGCTTTCTATCTTACACTGTGCCTTAAACATGGAAACTGTAGAAAAGAATAGTGTATCCCTGAAACGTCCTCACTCTGAGGATGGTGTGGCTAATGCAGATGAAGTTAAAAGACAGAAGATCTCAGAGAAGTCTAAGACAGAGAATGACTCTGGGCAAAGCACTGAGACTGTAACAGAACAACCTGACAAATCTCTGCTTGAGAACATGAAAAATGAAATAATCCCCAATGAGGAAAGTGAGGAGCAGGAAGATGAGGAACTAGAGGACAGTGATGAAGATGGAGATCCAGAGAGCTTTGCAGACATGATGAAGCATGGACTGACAGAAAGTGATGTTGGCATAACTAAATTTGTTAGTTCTCATAAAGGGTTTTCTGGAATCTTGAAAGAGAGGTAATTCTTTGTCTTCTTATGTATGTTAATACCTTTTGTTAAGCAGCTATTGTTCTCTGTTTTCCTTTCTGACTCACAAGATGCAACTGGGTTATGTGCAGCCATGTGAGAGGTGCATCACTTTCTTTTCCTGGTGCTAGGACTGAGAGAAAGGTTTAATTTGGGATTTTACTTTGGTTTTATTAAATAACATCTTTGAATAAAACAAAATGCAAATACAAAAACTCACTGAAGTCAGAATCGTTGTTGCCCTGACTTAGCAGAGCAGATAAGGATGCTTTGTTTGCACAAATAGAAGTCCCCGTTTTTAAATACTGGCTTAATATTTAGATCATTTTACATAATAAAGTGGTGTGCGCATATTTAGTATATATTTAATCTTTCTATGCAGCATTAAGATGCTGGCATAATCCTTCACTGGGGAGCACAGTCTGTGCTGAACTTTCTTTTGGGAAATCTGCCAGTTTTGAACTGAGGTGGCCAAAGGTAGCCAGGTGTTAAAACCGTTTGAGGGCTTACAGTTTTTCTTTGATCCTAGTTTATAACATGCATCATTAATTTAGTCCTGGTGTTTTTATGGTACCAGTCACTAGCATGTCTAGACAGCAAGAGATAATAGGAGAGAGGACCTGAAACACTCCTCAGGAAGGAATTCTACCAATAGAAGATACTGCACAGAGAGATGGCAAATGGGGGCTTGTGAGAGATACAGTCGAAACACTCCCATGGTGAAGTTTTATTCATCTTTCAACATTCACAGGCTAAAAATTTTTTCTTCCTTTTTTTTTTTTTTTTCTCCTTTACAAGCAAATGCTCAGTAGAAATCATGTAGCAGTTCCAACCTAGATTGTGCTCTATTAGATGTTATTACTGGACATAGTGACTTGATTGAAAATTTCCCAAATTCTTTGTTGCTTGCATAGAGTAACTGTTAAATCGAAAGATGTTTTCTATAACTGAATGTATGTAACAGCTGAATTTGTCTTGCTTTCCTTAAGAGTTGCTAATGTACTTTATTCTGCAGGTTATTTGAATTGACAGAGTTAATGCATTTGTATTTACATTGTAGCAATGCAGTAGAGTATTAATTGTCAGTAATGACTGGGATTGAGGATATATGTTACAGATCTTTGAAAGCTAGTAAGAAAA